AACGAATGATTTTAATCAATCATAAAACAAAAGTTACGTTTACTGATCTTCTGCAAATGGTGAAGCCATCCACTCCACAACATTTGAGACTACCGGAATTTCGGTTGAGGGGATAGGAACCTCCTCGAAGTGTACTGTCTCCACGTCCAGGTCATCCTCATCCAACCAAGTAACGTCGTCGGATGTAGAATCTTGGAATTGGCACAGATATTCGCGTTGCTGCATTGTAACACGAGTGCTGAGAACTTTGTACGGCCGAATCCGCGCAGCTGGATTTTCCTTGATAAACGCACGACTGTGCATTATCTTGATGTGTTCATTCTTAGCCGTTTGTGAGGGGAAGTACAGCCCGCAGTGCTCACAGGTGCGAGGAACCAGCTCGGACTGGACGCTTGGGCAAAAAGTGTCATACACAGTAGGCTTATTTGGGATATTTAACGCTGACAGAGCATAGAGATTGGGAAAGTTTCCCTCTGTGGATGTAGGTTCCGGCACTGTCAGCATGCCCTCTGCGTCCTGGGTCACTTTCACCGGTGGTGGTAGGAAGCGGTTGGGGAGTATTGTCGCCAGGTTGCTGCGAAGAGGACTGCAGCAGGACGTGTTCTTGCACTTTACTATCTGCAGCAAGTACTGCGATTGGCGGACGTGGTCTGCCAGCCACTCGGCTTTTGCAGTCTCCTCTTCGTCAGCATGCTGATCCTCAGCATCCCCACCTTCATCCGCCGGGGCTGCAGAATAAACAATGGGAACAATTTATACCGAGAGTTGAGCCAAACTGAAAAGATAAAAATAGACGTGTTGTGCGAACGATTTTACCTGGATTAGGGACGTACTCCGCTACAACAGGGTGGCCGTCGATGACAAGGTCGGACCACACGTCCCCCAGGATGGTAGCGGCTGCGCCGAAGTTGGCTTGCTCCAGGCTGGTATCTGTTGTCTTCTTGGAGGCGTCCAAGTGAGACCCAAAAAAATCATGGGGCAAGACAAGCCCGGAGAGCTCTTTACTGAGAGGCGCCATCCGCCTCTCGACCCGGTTGTATGCACTTCGACCTGATAAAAATAGAAACAGTAAATATATCTGTTGCAGAGATATAACTTCAGCTTACAATAAAGTTTAAAGTATTTTACCAGGGGCATTCGCCACCACGAACAGGGCGTCCAGATCCATGTTTTTGAAGTGGCGGGCAGCCTCTGCCAGCACTGCCCGATGGCGAGGAGCCTCATCTGGACCACCATCTACAGAGATGGCCACTACGGGCTTGGTGTCTCCATGCTTGTTCCGGACAAACTCCCGGAACTCGGCCAATCCGTAGATGGTGTTGAAGTCCGTTGCATGACTGGCAGCTGTCGATGAGGAATGTTTGCCGGAGCGGATGGCGACGTAGGTGGGTCCACTGTAGGTGACAGCACCCTCGGACCCGATCGCACCTTGCTTGATCTTGCAGGCCGCGTATACGGACGGGATAAGCTTGTGCGCAGGGGCTACTACAAAATCATGGTCTGAGAGGGTAACCCTATAGTCCATGTGCATAATGAGAGGTGCTTGCTTGTTGGCCGCTGTTATGCCAAGAGGGACCCTAGCTTTGTCGTCTTGGGACATAAAGAAAGCCTGTGCTGGTCCCAGCACTGAGACGACGCATTCTACCTGTCGCACAGACGCCAGTGCGAACTCGGTGTCGATGTGACGCCGATGTTCGGATGTTTGGGCTTTGACGAGCTTGACGGGGACCGTCGTGATGTGGCGAGGGCCATCCCCTGCGTTGGCACGCCGGGGTAGAAGGCGAAGGTAGGTAGCGCTCCGGCTGATGTTGAACCCGGCCAAACGCAGCTCTGCGACGAGATCGTCGAGGGTTCTGCACAGCTGCATCGACTCCGACCGCCTCCTGGCGTCGGCGCCGCCGTGTGCCTGGGCCATCTTCACGATTGTCTGGAGCAGTAGGGGCTGGTCCACCTCTACTCGAGGCCGCCCAGTTTGTCCCCGAATCTTCAGCTTCTTGCGGAGTGTAGGATCGCTGGCAAGCGCCTCGTTTAGGGCCGTCCTCTTTTTCTCTCGTTCACGGCGCTTCCGCTGGGCGTCGCGCTGAGCGATTTTCAACTTGTTCTCCTCCTCACTGATCTGCGTGCGAAGCTGCAACCAAAAAGCAAGATATTTAGAACCTATCTCATTAAATATACAGTGTAAATTCGCAATTTAAAGAACGCCGTCTACTTACCCGCTTTAGCTCCTTTCTGGTACCGACGGGTGCCAAGTCTGACTGGTCCAGAGCCACCAGGCTGGTCAGCTGGTTCTTTAAAAGAACGATATTTTGTTGAAGTTTGTCCTGCTGTGGTGTGCTGTACACGCGCGCTGGTGCGGCGATGGAGTTGGCCTCCTCCGGGTCGTCGACACTCTCCTCCTCGCGTCTGTTGGCTGCGCACACTGGACCACTAGTCCCAGAAGCCGGTGGAGAGCACGTGGGCGAGGGCGTCTCTGCTGAGGACGATGCTGACATGGGGGGAGCAGCCGTGGAGCAGGAGGGCGAGGAGGACGTGGAGGGTGCCGCCGCCAAAGAGCACGCGGACGACGTCGAGGGGCCCGCCGAGGAAGACACTGCACTCGTGCCATCAACGGGTGTTGAGGCACGACCCTGTTGCAAAAGTTAATACAGAGTTTTACTTTGCGGCTACAACACGAACTAAATCTCGTGACGATACTGCTCAAAACGTTTCGCATGTACGTTCACCGAATGCCATCCACTCGCTGGCGCGGCGACACCCCGCATTCAAACCATTGACTGTGATTTATAGGTTATGTACTCACCATATTCAGATATTTGTGGAGTGTTTGCACCTTTTTCGTCGTCGTCTTCGACTTGTAGTCATTAATCAGCCCTTCGATGTGATCCTGGAAGGGCGTGGTACGAGGCTTGCCATGTTTCTTTTTTGCTTCGTTCCAAATGGTATTAACTTCTTTTTGCGCATTTCCCTTTGAACGATCGGGGAACCGCGCAGTGTAAGCTTTAAATAACGCCAAGTGGAGATCAGCCCCACTTGCCATGTTGATGCACCCAAAACCCACACAAAATATCGTCAAAACACTGTTGTTTGCTAAACAAAACAAACCGAACCGGCCGAAACACGCACGCTCATGCTGGCTCAATAGTTTCCGCTGGCGCGGCTGAGCTCGACTCGGCTCGGCCGCGCTCGGCTCGACACGGCACGGCTCACCTCGCCTCAAACCGCTCTAGCGTGCTCCCTGCGGACGTGGGGTAGTGTCGAAACCCAGCACAGAGTATTCCCATTTTCCCCGTATCCTCATGTAGAAAGCGGACGTCCGGACAGCCGTTACCCCC